ATTATGTTGCATTTGGGTCAAAACCCAAGGGGAAGATGCGCATATGTTTGCCATACATGTCATCCATTTTCACGTTGCCTTTGGGTAAAAGGGGAGTATAGGCTGAGGATTGAGGAAGGTCGTATGTCCACCGAAGCCTTTCTTCCATAGGAGCAGTCTCATGGGTGGATAGAAGCAGGGTTAGAAGTAGGGTAGCTGTACTTAAAACCTGCGTTCGGGTCGCTATAGAAGCCTCCTTTGCAAGTGCCCATGAAACTTCAAGGATTCATCACGCATGAGGTATTCACCGATTCGCGCTAAACTGCCGCAAAGCATCAGTCGGGAGGCTCCATCGACGCACGCGAGTTCACCTACGTGCCTTGGCGCTCTTGACCCGAAACCCTAAGCCCTAGCCCTAAACCCTAAACCCTCAAACCCTAGCCCTAGACCCTAAACCCGAGGCCTGCGCCTCCATCAGGTAGGGAGCCGCTGGGCATACCTACACAAGGGGGCATTACCCTGTGGGCCCATAGTGCCCATAGAGTTATACAGCAGGGTTTTGGGGTAGAGTTCTCTTTTTGTAGTTTCACGAGTAGACACGAGTGCTGCCCAACAGCCGGGCCTGATGCTTCGAGTGCCACAGAGAGAGAGAGAGAGAGAGAAGGTTTTAGGGTTTAGTGTTTAGCGTTTAGGGTTGGGCTGTACAGCAACTGCTTGGTAGCCCAGTACGCTTTGTCCATATCTCTGTTCTGGGTTCCCTGATAGAGTAGCCAACCCCAAAAAGGGTGCCCTTACTATAATATGGTTCCTGGGCTACCAAGACTATACAGAGACCCTTTTCAGGCCCAAGTTTCTGGGTACATGGACGCTTTCTGGGTTGCTTGTAGATAGAACCTACCCTGAGGCCCTGAGGATTCTTCCCTGTGTGTACTAGGGTTTCGGGTTTGGAATCTAGGGTCTGTAGTCTCAGGCTGGGTTCAACTAGGGTGCAGGGTAGTCTGCCAGCCTCTTGAGCACCATCCTTCCGAGCCCCAAACAGGGTTTAGGGTTTTAGGGTTTAGGGTTTAGGGTTAGGGTTTAGGGTTTAAGGTCAAACTTCCTACCTCCACCCCCAAACTCCAACTCCATCCGACTTCAAGCCCCACCGTACGCCCTATTTCCCACACCCGGAAGCCCATGGTTTTTTAGGGTTTGTCTTGGAAAGACGTTTGCGCGAAAAGACTGAGGATTCAGTTTTCCCTCCGAGCACATCGCAGGAGGACGTGTTTCTGCAGGCACGATTTAGGGTGTAGGGTGAACCCTTAAGGGGATCTACTTAACACCCTCCCCGTAATATTAAACCACCCCCCTACCCCCCAATATTAAATAACCCCCCCATATAATATAACGATAATGGGTGGTATGTAATATTAGGAGGTCGGGGGGGGGGGGGGGGGGTGTTTAAACTTAGGGGCAAAGGATTATTTTTTTTTGGATCCTCCCAGGGACTGTCTGTGCACAAGCACTCACGGAAAAGGCCAAGGGTTTAGCACCCATTATGGGGTATAAGGAGGGACCCTTACAAGGGACCTGCGGGGTTGTTTAGGGGTTTCTTTGGGCTACTTAGGCATAAAGGGACTATGTGGTTTAGGGTTTAGGGTTTAGGGTTTGAGGTATTCGGGGTCCCTCCGTATCCCCTCAAAATGGAAGTCTGACATGTTCGCAGCCAAGTTCTGGCGCAGCCGTGCGCTGCGAAGGGATCGGCTAGTTTCAAAAAGACCTGAAAGAGGGGGTTTAGGGTTTAGGGTTTGGGGTTTGGGGTTTGGGGTTTGGGGTTTAGGATCTCTAACAGGGCAACCGAAGCCAGTGTCAGCGCAGTTGGACAGATTGAATCCTTTCCTGCGGTGAGCGAGCGCGAGAGTCGAAACCTTATCACCTTAGTCGACCCTAATGTCCATGCACCTATTGCTTCCTCTGCCCATGCGTCCCCAGGGGTTTGTGTGTACTTGCACTGGTTTAACTTCCTGAATGCGTGGCAAGACATTGCACCGAGTTTCCGGCTGCATAGTAGTCTATACTGAGTCTATGCTTGAGCTTTAAACGGATTCCTATACAGTAGCGGCCCAAATAAGTACCATATGGGTACATGAACCCCTATTTACCTTAAACCCCAATGAATTTCTAAACCATGAACCCTGAACCCTAAACCCGAAACCCTAAACCCTAAACCCTAAACCCGGTTCTTGTTGCCGGTGTGTTTTGTTGCCTTAGTCTTAGGTTTGTGCCTGAGGGGAGGGGGAAACTGGAACAAAAGCAGACAGTGTCAGGAAGGGGATCGTTTATCACGACATTTTACGAAGCAGTAACGAGTATTGTTCCCTGCAGTGCGTCTCTCTGAGTCAGCTAGGCGGGTGGCAAAAACAAACCCTAAACCCTAAAGCAAAAACCCAAGATCAGGCTGGCCTGCCAATTCTCCGAGAATGCTTGGAAGGCTACAACGGCACCATCCTGGCGTACGGCCAGTGGTTCGGCAGCCTACAGAATATAGGGGGCCTGAATAATCAGAACACGGTTTTGGGGGATATTATGGTATATTTGTAAAGGGACCATTAAGGGTATACTACCAGTAATTATTCCGACCCCTGTAATACCCGAATCTGTACCCTCAGAGCGCCTAGAGAGTGCCCCAAAATAGCAGGATGGCCTCCAAGGCCTTCTTGGAGGTTCGTGGGTAGTTATAAGTAAGGATATACGTACCCGAAGTAAGCTTATAGCTATACTTGCCTCACTTAAAACCTACCCATGAACCTTCAAGTTAGGCATATGATCTGCGACAGCGCAGGGGCCGCGACCTGAACAGGCTAGCTAGGCTCGTCCTTTTTGAGTAGTCGGGACTTGGCACCTCTTTGATAGGCCCTGGCAACCTAACATCCTTTACCTTGGGGTCCCAGAGTCCGGGAGTTCACTTCGGCACATCTGTCTGTCGTCTTGTGCCAGCGCTCATGGCAGCTCCTCCCGTAAAGGCTCCCAAAACCCTTGTCGTGGGGTTTCGGGATGCTAGAAACCATGCGACATAAGATGTTTAGGGCATCCTGAACCCTGAACCCTAAACCTCTAAACCTCTAAGCCTCTAAACCTCTAAACCTCTAAGCCTCTAAACCGTAACATGTTGAGCCCACGGATTTGTGTGTCACATTGTCACATGCGAGGACGGGCAGTGGCAAAACGCAGCTCGGCTTGGAGGAACAGCCTTCTTCGTCCCAGCCAGGCTTTGCTGAGGAGTCCTCGGCATTGTGCAGCATGGGCTTAGGGTTAAGGGTTTAGGGTTTAGGTTTTAGGATTTCGTCACTTCGCCTGCACAACCTGAGTCACAGGCAAACTACCCCCCCAGGTGACCTGAATCAAAAAAATGGGTTCAGGACTTAGGGTTTAGGTGTGGGGCTTAAGGCAGACACAGAAGGGGGCCGCTGTTCTGTCAACTGGGGTGCTTGCCGTCATCAGAGCCTCTCCAATGGCCAGAAACAAATGGCCACAGGCACAGCATGCTGGAAGTTTCATGGGTAGTTAGCAGTAGGCTTGTAAGCATGAGGGGTAGCTACAGTTAGAACTGGTTGGTAAACTTCTTAAGGCTACTTTCCCTGCTTTGCCATTGCATAGGGAATAATTCTTCACCGATCCAGCACAAGGAGCCTGAGGTCGAGAACAGCTCCCATGGGTCTCTGAAAGGCTTGAGGGCTTTGAACCCTAAAACCCAAATCCTAGACTCCATACTTCTTCGTTCGAGCAAGAGCGTCGACACCTTATAGTACCCTACACCCCAACCCCTAAACCGTAAACCCTGAACCCTAGACAAAATGGAACCCCAAACCCTAAACCCTAACCCCTAAACCTTAAACCCTTGACCAAGACAAAAACCCCAAGCCCTAAACCCTAAAAGCCGCAAGGTATACCTTACTGGACGACTCTGGGCTTCTGCCGCGCTTGAGCGCGGCACTCTTCGAGCCTGCGCTCAAACCCTAAACCGGGGGTTCATGGGTTTAGGGTTTAGGGTTTAGGGTTTAGGGTTTAGGGTTAAAAGTACTTGGAGGTTCTGTCATGAGTGGTTATAAGTAGGGTTACAAGTGCCTTAAGCAAGGTTATAAGTTAAAAGTATAGTTGCCCTGCTTACAACCCTGCTTATGACTCCCACGAACCTCCAAGTAGGGATATGCAGGGTGACTGTACTTATTACCTTACTTAGGGTGCTTAGAACCCCAGGGTACCCATGAACCTCCAGAGCACCCCTCCCACAATCCACAAGGGGTTTCGTTGAAACGGGTCCCTAAACAACAGTCCAAGGGTTGATCGTTGCGAGCCAGGGTAGAACCCCTTGGTGTTGATGCAGGTTGCTTGTTGCAGGCGTGCCTAAGGACCAACCGTTGATGTAGTTTTGGGTGAATGGAGCAGAACAAAAGAAAACAAGCCGGCGCTGCTGCTAGCATGCTTTTCACCGAGCATTGCTGCCCCTCCAGCAAACCCAGGATCCTTGACATTTTTCATAGCTGCTGCTCACTGGACTTGATGCTTTTCTTCTGAGTATGGTGCAAGCTCAAGTTTCCCAGGGATCTTAGTGCGGCTTACAAAGCCTGCAGATTACTTGGAGGCGCATGGGTAGTTCTTTAGTGGGTTATAAGTAGGGCAACTACGAGTCGAACTGGCTCAAACCTTATTTAGGGTACTCGTAACCATGCAAGAACTATACCCATGAACCTTCAAGTAAGATTGTTCATCAAGAGAAGTTGCTTTCGACCTTGGAGATCACAGAAGAAGACAGAGTGGAGCCTGTGCGATAAGGATGCCATTGCGGGAGATGGTGCCTCCTTGTACGAGGCGCGCCCTTAGCCCCGGCCGCTATCGCGCCCTTAGCCCTGGCCGCTATCCGAGCGAATGGTAACTTCGAAGCTGCCCAAGGACCACAGTTGGACATTCTGTGAGCTTCAAAATCTCATGGAAACTTGAGACAGGACACCATAGTGCACCCACTGTAGGACCTGCCAAGCGGAATGCTCATGACCGCTGTGCTGCACTGTATCGAGCATGCTGTGCACATGGTGTTGCTGCTGCTTGGAGTCACGACCAAGAGGTGGACCCTGCTTGGAGCCACTGACAAGCTGTTAACGATAATTTCAGATATGTTCTACCTCTGGACACGGACTTGAAAGGTGGATGCCAGCGCTGTGCAGATCTACAACGACCAGGCTATCGCGTTGTGGGCTGTGTTCAGACAAAAGCTAGTTCAAAATCTGAAAGACGCGCATCGCCTGAAAGGCGGATGACCTCCTTGACGATTCTCGACAGAGTCTTGGCGGCAACGGAGAGTGCGGCAATGGGGGCATCTTGGTGTGGCCTTGCAGGATTCAGGCTCATTAGGGTTGCCAGGGCTGAAGGACTCTTCAGAAACCACGTGATTCTTCTTGACTGGCTTGGCTCGACAAGCTAGGATCGCACCAAAGGCTGTTGACCAGTCGTCGGCCCTTCCCTCGGCCCTGCAGATCATGTCCCTGAGCATCCTCTCCCGTCGCGTTGCTGCGCCGCTCGTGGCGCCGCGTTTCGCAGTGGCTGCCCGCCGAGGGTACCACGAGGTTGTCCACGACCACTTCAACAACCCTCGCAACGTGGGCAGCCTGGACAAGGAGGACAAGAGTGTCGGTTCTGCACTGGTCGGCAAGGCCTCCTGCGGCGATGTGATCAAGCTCCAGGTCAAGGTGGGACAGGACGGCATCATTCAGGATGCCAAGTTCAAGACTTTCGGCTGTGGCTCCGCCATCGCCAGCTCCTCCTATGCTACGGAGATGATCATCGGACAGAACATCGCTGAGGCGTCGAAGATCAAGAACACGGACATCTCTTCGCACCTGAAGCTGCCACCGGTGAAGATCCACTGCTCTGTGCTGGCTGAGGAGGCCATCCAGGCAGCCATCGCCGACTACCAGACCAAGCAGGCTTCCCAGGCCTCCGCATGATCGCGAGAGCCGCATGAGCTGTGACAGTCGGCTCGACACACGGAGCATGTTCGCCGTCAGCATTTGTTGCGCTCGGGCGCACGTAGTCGGAAAGAGTGTCGTTGCCATTGACTGTGCATCTTTACCTGGAAGCATGGAGACGGCGAGCATGTCCCGTGACTTCCTTGCCTAGGTGAGTGTACAGCAAGCTTTTCGTGGCACCTTGCCACTTAGAGCCTTTTATCCCGAATCGGCAGGCGTTGGGGACTCGAGCGAGGTTAGTAGCAAACAATGGGCTTGTTTTCGCCTACACACTCCTTGTCGCCCACGCTTGGCTGCCTGGCGGCCAACGCTGCATCTCTGCTTGCGCATGTGTCATAGTTCTCTCATACTCATCATCTTCCTTGAGGCTGTAGTCGGAGATGCACGTCGCCGCTGGCAAGACCCACAGCAACTATGCTTGCCTTCTGGTTGGAGGAAAAAAGACCCACTAAGACTGGCAGGAAGAGTTTGGAGCATCCCATAGCAGCCATATGCCCACAAGGGCACAGATCTTCCAGCTAGCACGTCGATTCGAAGCCCAAAACCTTGTCTTGTCCCGATGGCTCCGGCTGATTAAGACTCAGCCTAAGCATCAGCTTCTGGGTCTCTGAAGGCTGCTTGTGAGCGCGCAAGCCCTCATGGCTTTCCAGCACAGCACATTCTCGCAAATGCAATTACTAAATCTAACCGCCTCCAGATGTTCAGCGGCTCTCTGTGAAGATTTCGGAAATAGGAACATGCAATCCCAGTTCAATTTCGGGAAAGACACAAGAGCGAGTCTTATGTCTCGATTGCTTGCTGCCTCGCTCGACTCGAGAAGGTAGAATCGCACCAAAGGCTGTTGACCAGTCGTCGGCCTTTCTCGGCAGCCCTGCAGATCATGTCCCTGAGCATCCTCTCCCGTCGCGTTGCTGCGCCGCTCGTGGCGCCGCGTTTCGCAGTGGCTGCCCGCCGAGGGTACCACGAGGTTGTCCACGACCACTTCAACAACCCTCGCAACGTGGGCAGCCTGGACAAGGAGGACAAGAGTGTCGGTTCTGCACTGGTCGGCAAGGCCTCCTGCGGCGATGTGATCAAGCTCCAGGTCAAGGTGGGACAGGACGGCATCATTCAGGATGCCAAGTTCAAGACTTTCGGCTGTGGCTCCGCCATCGCCAGCTCCTCCTACGCTACGGAGATGATCATCGGACAGAACATCGCTGAGGCGTCGAAGATCAAGAACACGGACATCTCTTCGCACCTGAAGCTGCCACCGGTGAAGATCCACTGCTCTGTGCTGGCTGAGGAGGCCATCCAGGCAGCCATCGCCGACTACCAGACCAAGCAGGCTTCCCAGGCCTCCGCATGAACGCGTGAGCCGCATGAGCTGTGACAGTCGGCTCGACACACGGAGCATGTTCGCCGTCAGCATTTGTTGCGCTCGGGCGCGCATAGTCGGAAAGAGTGTCGTTGCCATTGACTGTGCATCTTTACCTGGAAGCATGGAGACGGCGAGCATGTCCCGTGACTTCCTTGCCTAGGTGAGTGTACAGCAAGCTTTTCGTGGCACCTTGCCGCTTAGAGCCTTTTATCCCGAATCGGCAGGCGTTGGGGACTCGAGCGAGGTTAGTAGCAAACAACGGGCTTGTAAAAGCCCACACACTCCTTGTCGCCCACGCTTGGCTGTCTGGCGGCCAACGCTGCATCTCTGCTTACATGTTGTTTCGTAACGCATGTGTCAGGGTTCTCTCATACTCATCATCTTCCTGCGGCTGTAGTCGGAGATTCACCTTGCCGCTGGCAAGACCCACAGCAACTATGCTTGCCTTCTGGTTGGAGGAAAAAAGACCCACTAAGACTGGCGGGAGGAGTTTGGAGCATCTCATAGTAGCCATAGGAATTCCTCCGCAAGGGCATTGTTTTTCCAGCTAGCACTCCGATGGCTCTGGCTGACTAAGCCTACAGCTTCTGTGTCTCTCAAGGCCGCTTGTGAGTGCAAGAGCGCGCTCATCTCGGTTGTTTACGGCTTGGCTCGATAAGGTAGGATCGCATCAAAGCTTTTTGAACTATCCTCGTGCAGCCCTGCAGATCATGTCCCTGAGCATCCTCTCCCGTCGCGTTGCTGCGCCGCTCGTGGCGCCGCGTTTCGCAGTGGCTGCCCGCAGAGGGTACCACGAGGTTGTCCACGACCACTTCAACAACCCTCGCAACGTGGGCAGCCTGGACAAGGAGGACAAGAGTGTCGGTTCTGCACTGGTCGGCAAGGCCTCCTGCGGCGATGTGATCAAGCTCCAGGTCAAGGTGGGACAGGACGGCATCATTCAGGATGCCAAGTTCAAGACTTTCGGCTGTGGCTCCGCCATCGCCAGCTCCTCCTATGCTACGGAGATGATCATCGGACAGAACATCGCTGAGGCGTCGAAGATCAAGAACACGGACATCTCTTCGCACCTGAAGCTGCCACCGGTGAAGATCCATTGCTCTGTGCTGGCTGAGGAGGCCATCCAGGCAGCCATCGCCGACTACCAGACCAAGCAGGCTTCCCAGGCCTCCGCATGAGCGCGTGAGCCGCATGAGCTGTGACAGTCGGCTCGACACACGGAACAGGTTCAAAACTGTTTCTCCAGCCCGACATCGAGCTCAGACTTGTAGAGGTCGTTTTCAGAGATTGGCTCATACAATATGTAATCCACAGCATGCAGACAGTGAGAACGAGACTTCCTTGCTTAGGCAGTTGTACAGCAAGCTCTAAGCGGTAGACAGCTCCTTCGCAGTAGCTGAAGGACAAGCGAGCGAAGTTCAACTCAACCATCTCAACCAGACCTATGTGGCTGCACGGCACAGCTCGCTTATATCCTTGCTACCAACATGTCTGGAAACGTGGTCGTTCGTAGGGTTTATAGGGTTTAGGGTTTAGCTGGCAAGATTGTCCTGAGCCCAGCATTCAAGAGGGTGAAGGGTGTATTTAGGGTGTCAATAGGGTTTAGGCGTAGGGTGTCAAGCCTGCAGGGCGCTAAGAGCGTCCCAATTTCCGGGTGCACTTGTGCCCTGGCGGGCGTTGGGGACTCGACGTGGGCCGTCCTTGCATTTTCCGGTCTTCCCCAACGCCCGGTTGCCACTGTGGCAGGCTCTGTGCCTCCAGAATATCCAAATCGAGGGTTCAGGATGTAGGGTTTAGGGTTTAGGGCTTGCTAGTCCTAGTTTTTTTTTTCGGTTAGGGGTTTAGGGTGGGTGTAGGGGTTAGGGTTTAAGGCTTATAAGGCTTAGCAGGTCCTAGCTTCTTTTTTGCAGTTGTATAGGAATATGCGCAGGCAGGGTTAGGGTTTAGGGTTTAGGGTTTAGGGTTTAGGGTTCAGGGAGATACTTTGGAGTTTTGGTTCGTTGGAGGTTCAGAGCGCCTCTGGCAAGACCCACTCCAGCTGCCTGGAATAAAATTGGGAGACAGGAGCGCAAGCCTCGCAGCCATGTGTTCGCCTTGGAGGAACTCACTCCCATTCCTAGCAGTTGCTTCAGGAGACTTTTAAAAGCAACAGTACGAAGAGCCTAAACAGTACACTTGATGTAACTCTATCGTTCCTGAAGCCCTAAACCCTAAACCCTAAACCCTAAACCCTAAACCCTACACTCTACACCCTACACCCTACACCCTACACCCTAACCCTAAACTCGAAACTAACCCAGTCCTCCGAAGTCTGTCTCGCAGAGTTGGCATGAGGAATGTCTCGGTTCAGAGCGCCGGCGCAACGTCGCTCACCTGGCAGAGGCCAGCTTGCTTCCAAGGGTTTTAGGGTTTAGGGTTTAGGGTTTAGGGTTCAGGGTTCAGGGTTTAGGGTTTAGGGTTTAGGGTTTAGGGTTTAGGCCCTTGCCATACGACGTCAGAAGGCTTCAAAGGCTGTTCGGTTCGTGAAGTTTCGGGGACATCCTGGGCCTGCAGCTACACCTTAGACCCTAAACCTTAAACCCTAAACCCTAAACCCTAAACCCTAAACCCTAAACCCTAAACCCTAAACCCTAACCCGAAACCCCTGAGCCCCGAAACTCGGGTCCCCAAAGCCCACGCCGCAGTTCACTGCGGAAGGTGCGACGCGCCCCACGATCTCACAGCCCTGGTGCACCGAGCTCGCCGGGGCGCCTAGGAGAAGTCGAGGGGCTTCTGCGGCTTAGGGTTTAGGGTTGAGGGTTTAGGGTTTAGGGTTTAGGGATAGGGCGGGTGTGGGGTTTACTGTTTCGGGTTCAGGCTTAAACGCTGTGTTTCATTCTCCCTTGAAGAGTGCCGGCATGGTAGGACTATCTATCTATCCATCTACGTATCTATCTGCCTCTTGTTCTGCCTGTGCGTAACAAAGTTGCATAACTATATTATATATATATATATGTATGTATGTATGCATGCATGCATGCATGTATGTATGTATGTGTGTGCCATATGTTACCCATAGGAGTTCCAAAAGAGTGGCTTACTGCACATTGGGGCTTGTACACCCGTGACTCGGGGGATGTATTCTGGGTGGCCCCCGAAGCGGCTTGCAACAAGCAGCCCTTGACTCAGAGCTGTAAACACTTGCTGCATAGGGTTTAGGGTTTAGAGTTTAGGGTTTAGGGTTTAGGGTTTAGGGTTTAGGTTGTAGGGTGTAGGGTGTAGGGTTTGGGGTTTGGGGTTTAGGGTTTAGGGTTTAGGGATGTGCCAATGCGGCTCTGAGGAGCCCTTGTATGCCATGTGGGACTTTTTTTTGGCGCCCTTATAGTGAAGTCCGGCGAAGTGCCTCACAACGTGAACTTGCGACCACCGAAGTACTTGCAAAGCCCCCATGCGCCCCCGAGCCCTCTGCCTCTGCCAGCCTTCGGTTGCCGTCTTAAGCTTGGTTTCGGAGGCTATTCGAGGGCAACTCAACTCCCCTAAACCCTGCAGGTGGCAAAAGAAGCCCTACCTAGAGCACCCTTTGAACCCTTCGAAAAGGGTAATATAACGTAACATGCCTTCTACACATTGGAAAGTACACCCTTTCTTTGAGGTGCAAGGTTACTCTACTGGAAGATTCATGGGTAGTTGTAAGTACCCTTTAGAGTTATAGCCCGTTATTATTCGAGTTACCCTTCATAGAACCCTATACCTAGAACTACCCACGAACCTTCATAGACCCCAAACCGCAAAAAACAAAAAGACCCTAAACCCTAGAAAGATCATGAGAGCCCGCCTCTTTGGGGCGCCGTTTCGTCGCATGTCGGCGCGCTGGCGCGTGGCTGGGGCGGCGCTGGGGACCACATCTGTGGGTGGTCTCTGGAGCGCCTTGGTTGAAGGTATGTCTGGGACTCTGTTGACCTTTGATTTTGTGTGTGTGCTTCCCTAGAAACCCTTAGCGTTTCCTAAAGCATCCTCAACCCTGAGCCCTAAACCCTAAACCCTTGGCAAAAAACCATCCTCAACCTTGCTATAGATGGGATCCTGTAGTTCTCATGGGTGATCATTCGAGCACAAGCCCAGCCCTACCTCAACTTGGTAGCCCAGCGGTATCCTTTCCCCTTTTTTTGGTTCAAGGTTCCCGTATTGAGTAACCAAACCCAAAAAGGGTGCCCTTCTTATGATACTGGGCTACCGAGGCAAAAAACCACACATGAGCCTTCGAGTAAGATGCTCTCAGGTTTGCTTGTAGACGGCAGGGTTGACAGATGCTTAAACATCGCCTTTTGGGGTTGTAGCATCGACTGATACGACCCTGACATACTTTTAGGGTTTCGGGTTTAGGGTTCAGGGGCAGCCCACAAACCCAGGAGGTGAGCTTGCGAAGCAACGTGCTTGTGTCAGCAAACGCAGTCCAGGAATCCACCGGATGTTGCAACTCTACATTCCAACTTACAGACTTCTATTTGCTTAAGAACCCTTCAAGGATTGATATTTTTAATTTGTTTGGGGTTCTTAAGCAAATAGTAGCAGACCACAGGGCAAATCATAGTCATTGCCCCAAAGTTGATCATCCCATGGCTTCCTGACAAGAAGGGCTTGGGGTTTAGGGTTTAGGGTTTAGGGTTAGTCACCCTTTCTGCACAATAGAACCTCGTCGATATGCCTATGCATTGCACATCAGGCCCAACTCGATGTGCAAATCTCTTAGAGGAGTTGCGGGTTTGGGGCTTAGGGTGTGTGGTTACAAGGCAGGTAGGGCAAAAGGGCTTGTGGGCAACCTTATGGTCCCAATATTACAATACTATAGTAGCTCCCAAAACCGTATTCTAATTGTTTTCCTTATAAGGGCACAACAGGGATTATAATCTGGTATGTTTCGGAGGGTTCTTAAGCAGAGGTTTAGTTTTTCAAGCTCTGGGTCATGACCGTCCAAGGGGGTGCCTTGTGCGAAGATGCTCCTGCGCCTACTCCGCAGCCCAAGAAGCCGAGCCTTGGATAATGCAGGAGCCGAGTATATACACCCTAGCCCTAAACCCTAAACCCTAGCCCTAAACCCTAAGCCCTTATACAGGAGTCTCGATTTGCCCTAAACCCCGAAACCCTGAACCCTAAACCCTAGCCCTAAACCCTAAACCCTAATACCTCAATTTGCCCTAAACCCTTAAGATGTCGGGCCCGGCGTCCTGTGATAAGCCGCACATCAGGGAGGTGTTTGGAACTGGGGGTGAAGGAAGAACTCTTCCCTGAGGTTATAAAAGGTTGCCCTAAACCCTAAACGCTAAACCCTAAAAAGACTCATGAACCGTGTTTGCCTCGCCTGGCTTGTCCGAGTGTGAGCGATTAAACCCTAAACCCTAAACCCTAAACCCTAAACCCTAAACCCTAAACCCTAAACCCTAAACCCTAAACCCTAAACCCTAAACCCTAAACCCTAAACCCTAAACCCTAAACCCTAAACCCTAAACCCTGACTGTGTATGCCAGCTTCAAGGTGCAAATCCTCTGCCCACGCTCCACCGGATCCCTCGACCATCCCTGCGTCGGAGGAGGAGGTAGAGGCACAGGGTTTAGGGTTTTGGGTTTTGGGTTTTGGGTTTAGGGTTTAGGGTTTAGGGTTTAGGGTTTAGGGTTTAGAAGGTTCATGAGTAGATATAAGTAATTAGGGTGTTAAACGTAGCCCCCTAAATGAGGTTATACCCAGTTCTATCTGGGTTTGGGGTTTAAGACCGGGTTTCGGGTTCAGGGCTTGGGGTTACTTGATGTGTGGCAAGCGCCGGCAAGCACGCGAACAGGTTCAGCTCTGTTGGCTAACCCGCGACTAGAGACCTCCCGGGCGACAGGAGAAGGGCAAACAATCCTCATGACCAAATCGAAATTATCAGCCCCGAAGTTCTATAAACAACTCCGATGCCTATGTCCTCGACAATGGAAGGAGATTCTTGCCGCCAGCAAAGTGCTCCTTTTCATGAAAGGCCTGGATTTCAGAGGGCTTGTAGAACCCCCAAACCTTAGTAATTTTATCTGGGTTCTTCTTGATGGCGTGCGGAACGCTTTGTTCCGCAACCTGCAAGAAAGAATCAGGGTACAGGGCTCAAGTAGGGCTTGAGATTTGGGACTGAGGCATAGAAAAGGTAGGGCTTAGGGCCTAAAGTTTAGTGATGACGGCATTTCTGTCAGAAGTACATTGACGCAATTGCAGAACTGGGTTGGTACATGCACAAAGCTAGTCAAGCATTCCCTACTGTAGGTTTCGGGCGGGGGCGGGGGGGGGGGGAGGGAGTTTTCGGGGCCCGCAGTTCCCGTAAAAGTTCAGACTGACACTTAAGGGGAGTGGATGCTAGATTCGTCTTGGGTACCGCATCTGAACTGCCTAATCAAGTTCCCGTGCTACGGGAGGCACCCGGCTCTTGTGGGCAGAATCCTTGCCTGTGAAAGCCCATAAGCCTTGAAAAGATGAAGAAGCTAAAGCCTAAACCCTAGGGCCGGGACAGACAGGGCGTACCCACTGTCTTTGCAGAATCCCCTCCTTTTTCCGAACTGAACAACAAGAGTCATCCCTGCCGTGCGATGTTACCAGCAGCTAGTTGCCTAAACCCTAAACCCTAAACCCTAAACCCTAAACCCTAAACCCTAAACCCTAAACCCTAAACCCCTCACGTCTTTGTTATGTCTGAGAGGCTCTCCGGACTCTCCCCGCTGCCGCTTCTCCCGGGCGGCCGCGCAGATCCTTCGGGCCCCTTGGGGCTCAGCATGCAATGTAGGGGTCCATGTGCCTATGTAGTATAGGCTTTAGGGTTTAGGGTTAAGGGCTAAGGGTTTAGGGTGATAGTATGTGTTTGAGCCCTAAAGCTGCTGTGGTTGCAAGGGACTTCTTGGCCCTAAGAGGTTGAGAGGTTCTTGCATTTTTGAGTACTCCCCGACATGTTCCGATTCTGCACCCTCGGCAGCCGCAGCGCCAAGCTGCTGTAAAGGAAGCCCTTTAAAGGCCCGAGTATGTACTGTATATGGGTTTCATGGGCCCTTTGGGTTTTAGTTTAGGCCGGAAGTTTCTAAATAGCCGTTCATTGCGCCCTGTATTGTGGGGCTTGAGGCTATGACTGTTGCTATACTTTGGTTGGCTCCAGGTTACTAAGCCTAATACCCTAAAGCGACAAAACCCTAACCGTAAACCCTACGAAGCTTAAAAAAAGGAGGGCATTCCGTAGTTAGACTGTTAGGGATGCTCTATGGGCTTCTCTGCGGGATTCCCATGGGGTGGGGTCGGGCATTCCAGCGACAACTCTGCCGAAAGATTCTCTGCAGGATTCTCGGTACTCCAAAAGTACTCCTCGGCATTCTCTGCAGGATTCTCATGCTCCGGGATTCTGTGGGCCACCGGGGCAAGGAGAGCAGCTATGTTTGAAGCTATCAAACCTCAAAGACCCACGCCCGAGGGCGGCGAACAAATCCTGAATACCGACTGAATACCTGGATCTCTGAGCCTGGGGCTGATGTTGAAAGGTTTTTTAGCAGTTCTCCGGGCTCTAAATCCCTATGTAACCCTACGAGCGTAATAGCCCATAGGGACTAAATTTTAGATTAACCCCAGGAGCCTCGGTTGAGGATGGGGTTTTCCTGGCACGGGAGGAGCATCGAGTGGAGTTCGACCACGTGGATGTTCTGGAAATGCCTTCTCTCCGCCTGGCGCTTCAGGATGCTTGACTCCACATCCATGTTGCAGTCACTTTGGGATCTTGGGGGTTCAAGGCTTAGGGTTTAGGATCTAGGCTGAAACCATCAAGTCCGGTTTCAAAAGGGTTAAACAATGTTAAACAATTTAAATTGCCTGCATCCCACGATAGCGTCCGATACATGCAAAGCTGAAGCCCTGAGCCCTAAGCCCTAAACACTAAGCCCTAAACCCTAAACCCTAAACCCTAAACCTGTCTGTGGCAAGGCTCGCTGGCCAACCTTTCCTCAACTGTACGCCGAAGGCGTGACTTGACTGACACCTACATCTATGGAGGTGGGTTTAGGGTTTAGGGTTTAGGGTTAGGGTTTAGGGTTTAGGGTTTAGGGTTTAGGGTTTAGGGTTTAGGGTTTAGGGTTTAGGGTTTAGGGTTTAGGGTTTAGGGTTTAGGGTTTAGGGTTTAGGGTTTAGGGTTTGGGGTCTAGGCTTTAGGGTTTAGGGTTTAGGGTTTTGGGGTTTCGGGTGTCGAAATTATGGTTGTATGATTAGGATGAAAGTATTTGTCGGGGGTATAAGGGGTTAATTACCCCTTCTCTGCGAAATGCCAATCACGAATAGCTGGATTGCACTTTGGCAAACACGCTGCGACTTGGACGTCGCGAAGTGCTTCCGGCTACCACTACTAGGACCCAGAGTAGGCCCTTATTCGTTTTCTATCTTCGGTTCAGGTGCCCTGTGTAAGCCCCGTTGAACCCAGGTTGCTCTTGGGTCTAGGCTATCTCGAAACGCTCGCGCGGAGGCCAGAAGCTTTGCACAAACGGCCTTTCACAAGCCATCAGTGCCAGGCTAGGCAAGAAACAAGCATGCCAGTTTTTTTTCCTTGTGCAATTTGGGTTAACCCTAAACCCTAAACCCTAAACAAAAAGGGCCCTGGCGCAAAAAGGGCTTCGGCAACAAGACATGTAAAACCCCACGCCCAACATTCAAGATGTTTTCCTTGCAGCGCTGCTTCATCGTCAGCCGTGGGCGCAGCCGTGAACACCCTAAACAGTTTCTTTAGAAGCTCTCAATCCCTAAACCCGCAACCCGAAACCCTAAACCCTAAACCAGGTTCTGCTGGGTGGCTCCGACCAGCTCCGCGAGCTGGCACAGCGTGGAGAGCTCTTGTGCCTGGACTTCATGCGGCTTTAGATTAGGGTTTAGGGTTTAGGGTTTAGGGTTTAGGGTTTAGGGTTTAGGGTTTAGGGTTTAGGGTTTAGGGTTTAGGGTTTAGGGTTTAGGGTTTAGGGTTTAGGGCTTTTGCTAGCTCATGCTCCTCACTCGAAAGTTATGGTGGCCTTCAGGAGGGTTTGTTCTTGTGGTGGCGTGGCTGTGATATGGAAGCCCTAAACCCTAAACCCTAAACCCTAAACCCTAAACTAGCTATAGCCTTATTTAGAGTACTTCTAGGAATACTTATAACTAGCCATGAGCCTTCAAGTAGCCCTAAACCCTAAACCTTACTTGTAACTACCCATGAGCCTTCAAGCAGCCTACCAGCCAAGACCTTCACTTTGGGCTGGGGAGCCTCGGAATCCACCCTTACACTTGCAACTTTTCACGGGACTCTAAGCTCCACCTGGACGCCCAGTAGTAGTGCCTTCGTTTTGTACTTCATCTTTTCGTTTATTAAAATTCGTAAAGTACAACGAGAAGTCCTCGGCAGCTGTTGTCATCAAACCCAATGCCCGAAATCAACCCCCTGTAAACCCTGTAAACCCTAGACCCCATCAACCCTTTAAAGCCTGTGAAGCCTCTGAACCCTCTCGACTCTCAACTCTATAAACCCTAGAAACCCTGGAGACCCCAGACCCGATGAATCATATACCCTGGGTTTAGGGCTTAGGGCTTAGGGTTTAGGGTTTAGGGTTTAGGGTTTAGGGTTTAGGGTTTAGGGTTTAGGGTTTAGGGTTTAGAGGGAAACCCCAAAACCTATAAAACCTATAAACCCTGCAACCCCCGAAGCCCTAAACTCTAAACTACAAACTCTGCACCCTGAAGCCGAAACCCTATAAAGCCTAAAAACGCTAGAAGCCCGAAAACCCCATAAACTCTATGAGCCTGATAAGCCCCATAAACGCTATAAATCCTAAACCCTGATAGGCCCTACAAATCCTCAACCCTAAACTCTATATCCCAAACTCTGCACCCTAAACCCTAGAAACCCTCCCAAAGCTATATACTCTATATACCCTAACACCCAAAAAGCCCTCTAAACCCTGGACCCTCTAAATCCTAGACCCGCTAAATCCTAGAACCTGTTACAATCCTAAAACCGAAGCCCTATACTTGGAGGTTCATGGTACTTATAGCTACCCATGAACCTCCAAGTAGCCCTAAACGCTTAACCCTAACCCCTGAACCCTAAACCCTACGCCCTAAACCCTAAGCCGCCTAAACCCTAAACCCTAAACCCTAAACCCTAAACCCTAAACCCTAAACCCTAAACCCTAAACCCTAAACCCTAAATAAAAACCTACAAACCCTTACCACTAAGCCCTGCAAACCCTCCGAAGCCAGGGACGCCCTTCGCAGCTCTACAGCACGGGAGCGCGCCGCCCTGGCGCTGACGCTCCAGCGCCCGGCGTAGGGTTTAGGGTTTAGGGTTTAGGGTTTAGGGTTTAGGGTTCAGGGTTTAGGGTTTAGGGGTGTATGGTTCTGGGTTCAAACAGGTTCATAGTCGGATTATGTATCTGAATGCAAGGCAGTAGCGTCTAGAGGAAGCTGTGCAGCCTCCACGTCCGCAAAAAGTGTGCCTGAGAGGGGTTCTTGGGAGGGAGATGGTTGGCTTCAATCAGATATGGTTTTTGCCTCTCTAAGTTATGATCTCTTTGGGGTTTCCTGCTATGATATGGAGCCCTCCATTTAGGGGTATCCCGACCGAGGCAGAACCTCAAGCCCTGTAAGCCCTTTTGGGATCTCGGAGGCCCAACAAAGAAAGCTGGAGGGACCTTATGAAGGGTGGGGGGGGAAAGGCCGGAGCCACTTCGCACGCGCAGGGTTTCGAATTTTGGGGCTCATGGGCTGAGACGGTGTCTTTCGCCACGAAAGGGAGGTCAAAGTCACTGGTGACTTCGATCAGAGGTTTTTGAGGTTTCAGTTTCAGGTTTCAGGGTTTCAGAGCTCTTTAGTCTCAGGAGAGCACCGCCAGGTCACGCTGCCGGGTTTAGGGTTTAGGGTTTAGGATCCCAAACCCCATAAGTCCCACAAGCCCGGTGTGGCCTTATAGGACATCCAGAAACTCTAGAGAAGCTTCATATGCCCCACAGACCCCATAAGTAACTCGCACAAACCGCCCCATAAACTCTTGCACGGCATCATACAGGGCTGAGCCATTGTAAGTCATGAGGCCTTAACAATCCCCAGCATCAAGCCCACGGGGGGCCGCTTCAAAGGAAGGTTTCTTATAAGGTCATTATAGCAACGCCCTAAACCCTAAACCCTAAACCCTAAACCCTAAACCCTAAACCCTAAACCCTGAACCCTAACCTTTAAAAGGTTTCTTATAAGGCCTCAACCCTACGGCCCTTTCTGGTGAAGCCCAGAGCCTCGCTCAGGCCAGAGCCTGGTCTACGCAGAGACGCGGATGAACAAGGTGCTTCAGAGGATGTAGGGTTTAGGGTTTAGGGTTTAGGGTATAGGTTTAGGGCCTCGGATGCAAAAAAAGGGTTTAGGAAGTAGGGGTGACATCGGACGGCACCACCACGACCCATACTTGAAATTTGCCGGCGAGGCCTCCAGTCGGAGCCACGCGATCTTCCAGCTGAGGACTTCTGCACCTCTTAATCCCTCCGAAACGGTAAAGCCTAAACCCTCAACCCTAAACCCTCAAGCCTAAACCCTCAACCCTAAACCCTGTAAGCAGTCATTTTCGGAATGAGTCCCTGCAATGTGGCCTGAGTGTCAGCTAGGCAGGTGTAAGCCGAACCATGCAGAAGGGACATCGGCCGTAGGGTTTAGGGTTTAGGGATTGGGGCTGATATCGCAGGATCCGGCGACGCATTTCCTCCGAGGATCGCGTGACAGGCTGGGGAGGGGGAGTTTGGGGCTTTTGGATGGTTTTGGGGTCTGTCTGGCTGAGGGGTAGGGTTGACTTCGGGTGCTGAGGGCACGAAACTGTCTAGGATTAAGAGCAAGAACTGGCGTAAGGACAGCTTGCCATGGAGATCAACTCCCTGATTGTTGTGTGTGTGCTCCTGCGCCGTTGGAGCTTCTATGCATCTGTCGCACTCCATCCTAACCGAAACCCTGAACCCAAACCCTAAACCCTAGACCCTAAACCCTAAACCCGTGGTCTGGCAACAAGGCACCTGCTCTCTTCTGCGCATTGTGGACCTGGCCGGTTCCGACTCATGTCCGTTTCAGGGCGTCTGCAAACGGACTTACTTGGAGGCTCATGGGTAGTTCTAAGTAGGGTTATAAGTAGGTAACTATACTTATAACCCGAATTACCCTGCTTAGAACCCTACATATAGCTAGGGCCAGGGCTCAGAGCTTGGAGGGCTACAGGGCTAAAGTCTGGCTTTCGCAGCTTCCTGCAACTCCGACATGCTTGTTTCTCCAGTGCTGAAGTGCACTGAAAAGGCTGCTTAAGCCCTAAAACCCCTAAACCCTGCATGGTAGGGAATAGACCGCATACATCTCGTTCTCCTGTTCTCGGGCCCTTCGTGAGGATGTCGGTAGCCCAAATGAAGCGACGTAGCAATCCCAATAAACCCTAAACCCTAAACCTTAAACCCTAAACCCCAAACCCTAAACCCTAAACCCGTCACTGTCGTGTACTGCAGGGGGCCCTCCTTGCATAAGTACGGCTACAAGTCAAGCCCCAATCCCTACAAACGGTCAATGATGGTTGCCCGGCTTACAACCCCCACCTACAACTATCCACGAACTCCAAGTCGCCCTGAACCCTGAACCCTAAACCCTACGTCTAGTTGCCCAAGCCTGGGTCCCTTTTTTGGGCCTTCCTCCAGAGTACGGCACTTTTATAGGGAGCCCACTCAACCCCATAACCCTAAGCCCTAGAAACCCTAAGCTTTGTAGGGGCAGTTCTCTAAATTCGGGTCCCTTTTTGGGTCCCCTTGTATACGACGGCACATTTGACAAAGAGCGTCCCCTCGCCCCGCAATTTAGAGAACTACCCAGAGAAAGGGTTCATGTACCTACATTGTATATACTTGGGTCTTAAGGGTTCCTATGAATTAGCTTAAACCCCCGGATATGTATAGGTACATGGACCCATAGGGGCCAAATAAGGAAAGGACGAAGAAGAGCCAGGTTGAGGGCCTTCGCACCTTGGTCGCGTGGAGATGTTGAGTTTAGGGTTTAGGGTTTAGGGTTTAGGGTTTAGGGTCTAGGGTCTAGGGTTTAGGGTTTAGGGTTCAGGGGGGTGGCTTTTGGGGTTGAGGGGGTTTAGCGGTTTTGGGTTCAGGGGTTTACCTGGAGAAGTTGCGTAAGCTAGCCTTGACCACACCTGCAACCTCAAAACAGGGGCATTTTGCCAGGAATGTCGGGGTCGCCCCCAGTTAATTACACCACAAGAAGCCTTCTTGGACTTCATTTTGGGGCTTTGGGCTTCGGGTTGGAAACCTTCATGACGGGCACTGTTGGGGTTTGCGTATAGAACTGAGCGCAGCATCGACGTAGCCTTGCTGAAAGCCAGCGGAAGCTCCGAGCAGCTAAACCCTAAACCCTAAACCCTAAACCCTAAACCCGAAATAGCCGCAGGTCTCAAAGAGACGAACGCAATCAATCGGAGCTTGCTGGCCTTGGGACGCTCGGTTCTGAAGATCCTCCTGTACCCCTTAAACACTGAAATCCTATGCCCCAAACCCTAAAACCCCAAACCCTACTAAAACAAAAAATACACCCCTATGCCCAGCCGCGTGCGAGCGTGAGAGTTCGAAGCCCTAAACTTAGTAGCTGAGTGAGTACACTTCACACATTTTTGGGATACTGTAGTCTCTACAAAACTAAAAGTGTACACTTTTTGGGGGGCTCATGAATTCAACAACTCCCTAAACCCTAAGCCCTAAGCGCTAAACCCTAAACCCTAACCCTAAACCCTAAACCCTAAACCCTAAACCCTAAACCCTAAACCCTAAACTAAGTAAACCCTAAACTAAGTAAACCCTAAACTAAGTAAACCCCAAACGGAGGTGGGCATGTGGACATCCGACCCTGGACTAAGAGCCGGCGGAGCCATGTTTTTTGTTTGTTTAGGGTTTAGGGTTTAGGGTTTAGGGTTTAGGGTTTAGGGTCTAGGGTTTAGGGACAGGCCGTGCGTTGTCTTCGCTTTTTACGCGTTCTCCATCGGGATTTTGGAAACGAATATCCTCCTTCCTTACCTTCTAAGGGACTATAGGGGCGTTTAGGGTTTTTCGAAGGTTTATAGCATCTGGGAGATTTCCAGGTCGTGTAAAAAATCAGGTTTAGGGTTTAGGGTTTAGGGGCTGACCCAAAGGGTCCATGTACCCATACTGGGTTTTGGAGTACTATACTTTAATACTTTTTATGGTTCTGGGTTCCTATTATAGTTACTTATACCTAAAAAGTATATACTTTTTTCCAGGGTCTACTCCAAAGGTGGTCAACAAAAGCATGTATTTTAGACTCGGGCTTTAAAGGGGTTCCTATACAGTAGCTTTAGGGCCCAAACATATACAAAATGGGTAGATGGACCCTTAGGCTGACCTGTGAGGGTTCTTTGCAGTCGGGTGGTGTCTCTCGTGAGACGGTTGAAAGTATACTAACAGTCCTTAATAGGATTGAATAGGGATTGAGATTATAATAGGGGGTACTACAATCCCTGTGAAGGACCTGCTAGTAAAAGGGGGAACATCCCAAGTCGCGCACGCCAAACAGGAAATGTGGTCAATGCCTTGGCTTTCCGGAAGCAACACGTCCCGATCCGGGACAGCCGCCTTGCTGCCGTTGGCTTTTGCTTTTTGGGGGGAACCTGAAACCCTTGGGTGGTACCCTTTACCCTTTTTTGGTTCAAGGCTCCCCTATAAAGTAACCACCGCCAAAAAGGGTGCCCTTATTCTAATATGGTTACTGGGCTACCCAGAACCCTCAACTGCCTCGAGCACCTGCCGGTGAGTAAAGGTCCATACTGCTTGTACGCCTTACGTCTTAAAGTCGCTCGAAGAAGCTGGAGCGATGCAAACCAGATCAGCACACCCCCGGCACAAAAAAAGCAAAGCTGTGTGATGAGTTGCGATTTCAAAGAGCACTTGCATCCCAATGGTTCCTGAAGAGAGAGGCAAACCTAAACCCCCCAAACGGAGTAGAAGCTCCTTAAAGGGCCCCCCGAAAAGGGTGCCCCTTTTGTCGGAAACCCCCACTTGAGGCTGCAAGAAAACTCCTCTGTGTGTGTGTACTTGGAGGTTCCTTGGGTAGTTCTAAGTTGGGTGAGAAGTACCCTAGACAAGGTGATGACCAGTTATAATCATGGTAGGGCGGTCGCATCCTGCATCACCGGGCGTCCGGCGCAAGACTCAACCAGGTAGGACGCGGTGATTTGGCCATGCAGCAAGCAATGTCAGCCCCTAAACCCTAAACCCTAAAAAAGCAACCTCAACCCAATGAGGTTTTAGGGTTGTTGCAAGTGTCAGCGAAGACCGCCCCAGTAGAAGGTCTCCGAGTGCCACTAGCAACTCTGGGACATCTTTTGTGATCATAGCTACCCTGCTTAGAACTACCCATGAACCCTCAAGTAGGTGCTTAAGGTGTTTGAGCTTTGGCGTTCGAGAGGAGGTCGGAGCTTGATCCTGAATTCTTATGCTTGAAGGTTTAGGGTTTAGGGGTTTACGCTTTAGGGGTTTAGGGTTTTAGGGTTAAAAAAAAGGGTTTAGGGGTTCAGTGTTGTTGCTGACCTCTCATGTATTTTGGGAGTCCCACCTCGAGTAGTCCCAGATCAGCTGTTGCAAACATTGTGGCATTTGAAGGATCAGGGCAGTGTGCACTGCATCCCCGGGTTTAGGGTTTAGGGTTTAAAGGGTTTAGGGGTTTAGGGTTTAGGGGTTCAGTGTTGACTCAGCTCTGCATGCTCAGACCTTCAGACATTGTCGTAAACTTATTTCTGGACCAAAGTTTAAAGTAAGTGCAGAGGGAGAAACCCTGACACCATGACCGCAAAAGGGCCCATGTGATCGTGCGTAGCTGCGATGCACTTCTCGTCATACAAGCCGTGTTCAGTTTCCAACGCACGGTGTAGAGTACGGTTGACGAGCTGATGGGAACCTGTGTACAATGAGCTTCTAAACCCTAAGCCTTCGATTGAAGGAGAAACAGGTTTGGCTGCTTGTCCTGCGAACATCGCGTGGCAAGATGCAGTTCAGTCCAGAACATGTAGTAGTTACTCACACCCCCTTTTTCGGCCCAAGAATATACTACACAGGCACATGGATCCTAAACCCTAAACCCTTTTTTCTCAACCCTAAACCACCTTTGTTTATTTTCATGTGGGTACACATGGACCCTTTGGGTTAGGCAAGCTCACGCTGATGCTGTCCGACTCGCTGGGCGGAAACTGTAAGACTGCAATGTGGGAGCCTCAGGCGGAGGCGGAGGCGTCAGGGGTTTCGGGTTTAGGGTGTTTAGGGTGTCTAGGGCGTTTAGATCCATGTCTTCAGCCTTGTAAGCTTGAAGCAGCTGGGTTTATCGGATCTAGCATCACACTGCTTGCTTCAGTTTTCATCGTTGATTTTGCCCTATCCGCCCTAAACCCGAAACCCCAAACGCTAAACGTGGTCCCAGCATTCGTGCGCACCCGAACATACCCGCAAAAAGGTTACCTGATTCGTCACCTCCAGACCTGAAACCAACTCAAGCCTCTGCATGCCGTACGGTCGCTTGTGCCACATGTCTTCCATTGGCAGAATGGAGTGACGTGACTGCCGAAGGCATTCGCAACAGACTCTTGCCACCTTTTCATGCCAAGGCTAGATTTGTTTCTTTAAGAAAACAGTTTAATCTTTACCGTACCAACATCATTGAAAGGCAGTATTATGCACATGTTAATCCTGATTTGATGCCGCACGTCTGCAATCCGCATTGGGGACGGATTGTCAAATGTCATTTTTGCTCCACTTCTTTCAACTTTTCTTGTAAAGCTGAAAGGTTCGCCAGAAGATGTTCCTCCAAAGAACTCCTTTGTTCTGACGACGCCCAAAGTTGGCTGCTGAACATTAAAGACACCATACTCGCACTTGATGATATCATCACGAGATTGAGCAGTTGATGAAGCTGCGCGGCGTAGATCATTTGTGTCACCCTGGTAGGCAATGCCCGACTTCATTGATCGAACGACGCAAGTCCGAACGAACCCTAAACCCCAAACCCCAAACCCTAAACCCCAAACCCAGGCTCGTTTGTGTGGGGCCCTGTGCCTCCCATGCTGCCGAGACGCTGAGCAGCTTGGAGTTTGCCTCCAGAGCTATGCACATTGCTCCTCGGCCGTAGATTATGTTTAGGGTTGAGGGTGTAGAGGTTGTAGAGGGTTTAGAGGGTTTAGAGCTTGGGGTGGTGGCCTTTCTTGTGCAACCTGAAACAACACTGGGGGTGACTTGGGTTATAGCTAGCTATAAAGGGTACTCAAACAATGTTGCTTATACACCACAAACCTACCTGTGATGATCACCCACGAACCCTTAAGATAGCCCCTAAGTACTCAACCCTAAACCCCTAAACCCCTAAACCCCTAAACCCCTAAACCCCTAATTAATCCCCTAATCCCCTAAATCCCCTAAATCCCCTAAATCCCCTAAACCCCTAGACCCCTAAACCCCTAAACCGAAAACCCTGCGTAAGCCCTAAACCCTTAAACCCTAAAGTCTAAGCCTTAAATCCCTAAACCAGGAAGTCCACGCCTGCGTCAACGTGTTGCCCTCCGCTCCCGCCGAGCCCTGGGTGGAGGGATACTTGGTAAACGAGCACGCTTTACACTTTTCAGGGTTTAGGATTTAGGGTTAGGGCCCTATAGAACTCACAGTGTACACTTTTTGGGGCGGCTTCTGAACTCAGCAACTAAGGATACGTGCGGGGCCTCTCCGAGCAGGACAGGGGTGCACCCAGAGCCCTCTTGAGGAGGGGGTAACTCTAAACATCCCTAAACCTTATACACCCTGAACCCTCAACCCCAAACCCTAAACCCTAAACCCAAACCCTGGGTAGTTAGAAGTTGGGCTTCCCTCAGCCTGCAACCCCGTCAAGAAGTTGCCCGAACTCAGGGTTTAGGCTTTAGGCTCTAGGCTAAACGTTAGTTTGGGTTTAGGGTTTGGGGTTTAGGGTTTAGGGTTTAGGGTTTAGGGTTTAGGGTTTAGGGTTTAGGGTTCTCAAACCCGAACAGCGGCCCGGGAGCCTGGGAGTTGAAAGTAGGGCGAAGTATGGCAGCTACTGCACATGAGCCTGCTTGAGGGCACGTAACACCCTACCTAGAACTACCCATGAACCTCGAAGTATGTGATAGAAGCTCCACATTCGGGGGCTTAGGGTTTAGGGTTCAGGGTTTAGGGTTTAGGGTTTAGGGTTTAGGGTTCAGGGTTTAGGGTTTACAGGCTTTGGGGGTTGAAGGATCTTGAGAGTCCCTTCATACTTTCATCGGAGAGCAAAAGCCTCTTACAGAAACTCCTGCAAAGGGTTAGGGTTTAGGGTTTAGGGTTTAGGGTTTAGGGTTTAGGGTTTAGGGTTTAGGGTTTAGGGTTTAGGGTTTAGGGTTTAGGGTTTAGGGTTTAGGGTTTAGGGTTTAGGGTTAGGTTTAGGGTTTAGGGTTTAGGGTTTAGGGTTTAGGGTTTAGGGTTTAGGGTTTAGGGTTTAGGGTTTAGGGTTTAGGGTTTAGGGTTTAGGGTTCAGGGTTCAGGGTTTAGGGTTTAGGGTTTAGGGTTAGCAATCAAACAAAATCTGCGGCCCGAAGCCCCTAAACCACAGCACTAAACACCCTAAAAGCCTGAGAACCATAAGACCCTAGCTCTCTTACGTGAGTGATGAAACACGCCTAAACACTCCAGAGCACTACCCCGTAATAACACACAATGGACATGTACCCTTGAAGAACCTCTAATGCCCCTAAAGACAATAAAAGAGCCCTTAAGATCCCTGCGCCCGAAACCCCAAACCCCAAACCCCAAACCCCAAACCCCAAACCCCAAACCCCAAACCCTAAACCCTAAACCCTGAAAGGCCGAAGGCTTCCGCCTGGCCGCCGCCCAAGGTGCCGAGCGCGCAGCCAAGGCCGAGGCACCGGAAGGGAGCTGCTAGGGTTTAGGGGTTTAGGGTTTAGGGGTTTAGGGGTTTAGGGGTTTAGGGGGGTTTAGGGGGGTTTAGGGGGGTTTAGGGGGGTTTAGGGGGGTTTAGGGGGTTTAGGGGGTTTAGGGGGTTTAGGGGGTTTAGGGGTTTAGGGGTTTAGGGGTTTAGGGGTTTAGGGGTTTTAGGGGTTTAGGGGTTTAGGGGTTTAGGGGTTTAGGGGTTTAGGGGTTTAGGGGTTTAGGGGTTTAGGGGTTTAGGGGGTTAGGGGTTTAGGGGTTTAGGGGTTTAGGGGGTTAGGGGTTTAGGGGTTTAGGGGTTTAGGGGTTTAGGGGTTTAGGGGTTTAGGGGTTTAGGGGTTTAGGGGTTTAGGGGTTTAGGGGTTTAGGTTTAGGGGTTTAGGGGTTTAGGGGTTTAGGGGTTTAGGGGTTTAGGGGTTTAGGGGTTTAGGGGTTTAGGGGTTTAGGGGTTTAGGGGTTTAGGTTTGGGGGTCTGGGGTTTAGGGGTTTAGGAATTTAGGGGTTTAGGGGTTTAGGGGTTTAGGGGTTGAGGGGTTCAGGGGTTTAGGGGTTTTAGGGGTTTCGGGGTGAGGGGGTTAGGGGGTTAGGGGGTTAAGGGGGTTTCGGGGTTAAGGGGTTAAGGGGGTTAGGGGGTTAGGGGGTTAGGGGGTTAAGGGGTTAAGGGGGTTAGGGGGTTAGGGGTTTGGGGTTCATTGGGTGTTGTAGATGATTTTCTTGGGCGTGGCTCGGGGTTTGATAGGGTTCTAGAGGGTTTCAGAGGGGTTTCGAGGCTTTTTGTTGGATGTTTTCTGGGGTTTTATAGGGCTTTATTGGGGATTGTAGGGGTTTAGAGGGTTTTAGAGTGTTTATATGAGAGTGTTTATATGGTTTACCGGATTTCATGGTTTAGGTTTAGGGTGGATGCTCTGCGTTTGGGTTCAAAAGGGTGTAGGGTTAGGGTATTTTTTGTGGGAGGAGTATGATTTGGGGTCCATAGGGTTTGGGGATCGGGGTTTTCACGTTCCAGTTTAGGGTTTAGGGTTGAAAGGTATAGGACTTGGAAGATTCATGGGTAGCCATAAGTGGAGTTACAAGCAGGGTAACTCTACTGAGAACCTTATTCAGAACTACCGCTAACCTCCATTATAGCGTGAAGGAGGGGTTCAAGGGGGGGTTATGTAACCCACGGTTCCCTCATACCCCCCACTACTCCCCAAAGCCTCCCTAAGCTTCTTTAAGGTTCCCTGAATATCAACCCTACCCCCTAAACCCTAACCCCCTTGAACCCCCCCTCTGTTGAGGACCCTATAACTCCAAGTAGACCCCACGCCTGCATGAGTCAGCACCTCAAAACCCTAATTGCCTCCCCAGGCGGACAGCACAAAACACCCTCAAGCCGAAGCCTTGCACGAGAACCCAATCCCGAAACCCTAAACTCTGAACTCTAAACCCTAAACCCTCAACCCTAAGCCCTAAGCCCTAAACCCTAAACCCTAAACCCTAAACCCTAAACCCTAAACCCTAAACCCTAAACCCTAAACCCTAAACCCTAAACCCTAAACCCTAAACCCTAAACCCTAAACCCCAACGAAACCTACCAAACCCCAACAACCCCACACACCTGCCCCCCCAAGGAGGCCCTGGGCGAGGCAGAGCGTCGCCGAAGCGAAGTCGAGTCGAGGCACGTCCTGGCCCAGAACGCTTAGGCTTGTTTGCGGGTTTAGGGTTTAGGGTTTAGGGTTTAGGGTTTAGGGTTTAGGGTTTAGGGCTAGCGGGCTGCTGTGAACCGAGGCCTGCTGTACAACGGGTTTAGGGTCTAGATTAGTGGGTGCATGGGCCTCTTTATGGGCATGGGTCTGTTGGGACAGATTTCATGCGTCCGAACTATACACAAAGCTCCCCCGAACTATTTATAAAACTGGCCGAACTATTTATGAATCGTCCGGAACCGCTCGGAACCGTTCTAGACTGTTTGTAACCGTGTTGCGAGACACCATCGCCGACCATCGCTCAAATCAAAGTCGCAACAATAGCTCCACAGTGGTTATAAGTCGCCCGGAACCGCTCGGAACCGTTCCGAACCATTTATAAACGTCGGGCTCATATATAGTCCAGAACGGTTCCGAGCGGTTCCGGACTATCTGGAACGATTTCGAATCATCTGCTGGAAAATTTATATATAGTTCTGAGAACTTTTATATATAGATCGAGGAATATTATATATAGTTCCTGAACCATGCGGGATGCCCAACAGTTAAAGAGGCCTACGCACCTACTAAGGTTTAGGGTTTTGTGAAAAGCGTTTCTGATACATAGGGAGGGGCAGAGGGAGGGAGGGTGGGTTGAGGGTTCGTCAAAGACCCCCAAAGCATCGCTAGTTATCTATGAACTGCAGGAGACTACCACCCCGAAGCCATTATTTGATGCGCTGGTTTTGGAGTTGAGGATGTTGGACGTTTTGTGGCTTACGACTAGGAACCCACCAGGGATTAAGTTTTGGGTTGAGGTTCTACTTGGAGGTTCATGGGTAGTTAACAGTAGGGTTATAAGTAACTTTTACAGACACTCACTCCTCTGCCGCACGAGCATCAGAGTTTCATCCAATTAAGCTGTGTACAATGCAACCAAGCTGCCGTAAAAGGAATTACTGGAGTAGGGCGTGAAAGTTTGGGATCCAATGAGCATTAGCCTGCCTTGAACCGTTAAGGACGAACCTGGTCTGATCACTAAGGAAGAGGGCCCACAACGCATTAGGGTAGGAGACCTTCTTCCGCCCTACAATGCCAGCAACATCTCCTCCCAAGAACTCTTTGTGGACATTGGTTTTAGGGACGCAGGCCACGGCCACGCCGCAGGCCTGCATGGCTTTGCACATGTAAGTTTTCATTCTCCTAGTGAGGCGGGACATGGGCATTCCAGGAGTCAAGTAGGGTAACTATACTTATAACCTTACGGTCCTTGTAACCCTAGTTACAACTACCCATCAACCTTCAAGTAGCCCTAAACCCTAGACCCTGAACCCTAAACCCTAAACCCTAGGTTCTGGGTTCTGTGTTCAGGGTGACCAGAGCCAAGGCTGGCGGTGCTGGAAGAAGCAGCCGCGCAGTGGGAGGAGCCTGAATTTTGCTAGGTAGGTGCTTGGGATGTTTTGTATTTTTCCTTATTGGGTGTAGGGTTTGGGGTTTAGGGTTTAGGATATTTTCCATATTTTCTCTTCTTGGGTTTAAGGGGGTCATATTCAGAACATTTTTCAGAGGGTTCTAAGGGCCATCCTAGTTAGGGGCTTCAGGGTACTTGGCCTTCAGGTGGGCGATATGCCGAAGTCAGCGAAAGCACCCAATTTCTTCAGAGGTCCGGAGTCCTCCACAGGAAGGCCTAGGGAAGGCCTTGATGTTGAATCATGGCCTGAGCAACGCGAGAGTGCTTCAAGGCTCCAGAGCCACATACCAAAATGACAACATTGAAGCGCTTGCAGGGAGTTGCCGGCTACTTGTGTAGCGCTGTTGGGCCTTGGATTGGGTTGTTGGCACTGTAACTTAGGCATGTTGGTACTGTAACTTAAGCAATAGGTGCCTCATCACAGTTAGTATAGGCACCTGCTCGTGGTTTTCGACGCAAGGAAAGGGCAGCAAGTGTGAAATTGTACCGTTCACCGTGCCGCAGGCGCGTGCGCTTGCGGCTGAGGCATCGGCCGCCATGGAGCGGAGGCGTGCTGGCGACGAGGCTCTCGCCTGGCAGGGTTTGGGTTTAGAAATTCTAAAGTTTTGAGTAAGCCTTAAACCCTAAACCCTAAACCCTAAACCCTAAACCCTAAACCCTAAACCCTAAACCCTAAACCCTACACCCTAACCGAACCTTGAGGCAGCGGCCTCGGAGGCCATGCGTCAGCGGGAGAGGCAGGCGAAGCCATGCAAAGCCCACAAATTCAATCCGCGGAAGTTCCTAAACCCTAACCCTAAGCCCTCAGCCCCTCCTGAGCGCCAAACGCCTTTGCAGTCTGAGGGTTCAGAGTTTAGTTTAGGGTTTAGGGTTTAGGGTTACTAGGACCCAGAGTCGGCCCGGGGTTAGGTTCCCTTTTCGACCAAGAAGGGTACCCTTTTGTGCCTAGGTGACTCTTGGGTCGAGCTTTTTTTGAGCTCCACCCTGAACCCTGAACCCTCAACCCTCAACCCTAAACCCTAAACCCTAAAGGTCTTTTTTGGGGCTTGAGTCTTTGGGTTCAGAGGCATCTCGCTGCTGAAGCGTTGGAGCGAGAGAGACGCCATTCAGGCGGCTTGGGGTTTGGGGTTCAGGGTTCCGTGTTTAGGGTTTAGGGTTAGGGTTTGGGTTTTCGCGGCAGTTGTTCGCAGTCCAGTTGCAAAAAGGGTTTAGGATTTAGGTTCAGCGTTTTGCGGGCTGTATTCTCGAACGTCGAGCTTCGTTTTGCGCAGGACGTGTTGGGGGTGGAGGAGTTTTTGCTGCTTGGAGTACGTCAAAGGGCTGCAAGCAATTCGGATGGATTGAAGTCTCTCTACTTTGTGGTGCTTTACTGTAGCTTTAGATCTTTAGCCTTGTTGGTCTTATGGTTTCTTAATAAGGCAGCTAAAAATATAATTTATTTCTACCCTCCTGTGTGCAGCCAAGTCTAGAAGCGTTCCTTCAACGACAACCTTGGACAATCTAACCCCACTAAACCCTAATTGTCCTACTACCCTAATGACTATCTGCCTCATGAGAAGCACACCAGAGCCTAAACTCTATCCGGCCTTGTACCTCCCGCCCTTTCTGGGCAGGGCTTAGGTTTAGGGTTTAGGGTTTAGCGTTTAGGGTTGAGCGTTGAGAGTTGAGGGTTGAGGGTTGAGGTTTGAATTAAGGTTTAGGAGATGATCCTGAGTTCCCCCCCAGGCCAGCTCACTGACTCCGTGACCCACCTGGAGGGGCAGCTTGCGGTGCTTCGTCTCACTGGTTCTTACTAGGGAATTTAGGGTTTAGGGTTAAGGTTTCCTGTAAACCAATAAGGGCACCCTTCTTATTCCTAGCTTACTCTTGGATCTAGAATCTAGATAGGTAACTTACAGATGATTTTCCTATGTAAACGCGCAAGCCTTTTTTAAGGGACTATAATGGTAGAGAGCCCTTATATGGGTGGTTGTCAAAATTATGGTCCCTTTTTGGATCCCTATTATAATACGGCACCTAATATTTAGGGTACCCGAAAAGGGAATCTAATTTTAGCAACAACCCATATAGAACTTCTTAGACTTTAAGGGGACTATTGGCTTTGAGGGGGACTGCGCTACTTAGCATGCCTGCGGAGCTCTTTGCCTCTGTGCGAGCACGCGCATACAGGGCTGGAGAGTATGCAGAGTGGAGGGGGTTGCCTTGTGTGAAAGGGTTGTTGTTTTTTTGGTGATGTAGGCGGGTGGGCAGTGTAGAAGAGGATGTTTCGGATCAGGTGTCCTGAGAATTAGGGTCTTAGGGTCTTAGGGGTTAGGGGTTTTCGGGTTTAGGGTTTAGGGGTTAGGGTTTAGGGTTTAGGGTTTAGGGCTCCGAGGATCGGTCCAAGGCTATGGCTCTGCTGATGGCCCAGGCGGAGGTGGGGCGGTTTCATGATTTTTTGCGGTTTAGGGTTTAGGGTTTAGGGTTTAGGGTTTAGGGTTTAGGGTTTTACGGTACTTAGAACCCTACTTAGAACTACCAATGAACCTTCGAGTATCGGTCTACTTGAAGGCTTCGAAGGTCCCGAAGGTCCATGGATAGAAAGCAAGTACATTAAGTACATCGCCAGTAAAGGGCTTAGGGTTTAGGGTTTAGGGTTTAGGGTTTAGGGTTTAGGGTTTAGGGTTTAGGGTTTAGGGGAATGTTCCTGTGCGAGGGTTATACTACGGCTCTGCGACAAACAGTCGGCGACAAGAGTTTGCAAAAAAAGAACATACACCAAAACCCTGTAAGTTTTTATTCCCACAGCCTCAACCCAAGCATCCGAAACCCGAAAGCGGGAGCGCGACAACAGGGGTGACGCCCGAACCCTAAACCCTAAACCCTAAACCCTAAACCCCAAACCCCAAACCCTAAACCCTAAACCCTAAACACCTACGAACTTGGCAGCCCAGCGGTACCCTTTTCCCTTTTCGAGTTCATGTTTCCCTTGTCAAGTGACCAACCTTTAGAAGGTTGCCCTTATTATCATATGTTTACTGGGCTACCACGTGAATCTTTTGCGCAGGTGCTCCGAGAAGTCTTGAACCTTAAGCCACAGGGTCTTGAGCCACGGAGGCTCCCAAGCAACCGGATAAACCTTGCGTGGGGGCCCATGACAATTATTGTGAGCTGTCTATCAAAAGGGCTAATCATGTAGATCAACCCCCCCCTCAGTTCCATGGCAAGAGTCAACATTTCTGAAGAGAGGGGTTCGAATGCAGCCCGAACATGTTTGTGCAACGTGATATTGAGGCCCACAGCGCGCCAAGCTAGCTGCAATTTGCTTCAAACGACTTCAGGGCTTCTTTGTCACCAGGTGTCCTCACCATGATGGTCTATGATGCAAGTTGGGACTCATGTTGCTTTTGCTTGGTTTTTCCCTGAACCCTAAACCCACCACCTGCGAACATGCTGCAGGAGCTGTCCGACAAAGTGCGGGCACTGGAGGCACCTTTGTTGACGTCTCCTAGGTAGTAGGCATTCATGACATCCATAGTATACGCCTGCACATACATACATACATACATACATACTGTATGTACATACTTTCATATGTATATACTCCCCCCCCCCCCCCCGGCATAGCATACGAAAAAAAGGAGCAACAGGTTTCTAGCATAAGAGGGGGGGAAGGGGGAAGTGGGGGTCTTATCCAAACATCCCGTCCTTCTGGCTTGCTGCCTCAGTCATAGAGCAGGTTTCAAGCTTTAGGGCTACTAGGTTTGAGGCGTCCTCCCCCCCCCAATGTATTTGGTAGAAATATTAAGAGGGGCGACTGCCGAACCGGGTTTTGGGGCGGGGCTTTTTGTATTTAGGGATGCGTGCGTGTGTGCCGGCCAACGGCCGCAAGTAGAGAATGCAACCTTGACCATTCTGGCCCAAGCTGGCTGAGGTACTGATCGAGCTGCAACGCACGTTTGCCCAATCCTTCCGCTTTGCCATGTTTCCATTGTTCAAAACCCTAAACCCTCAGCCCTCAACCCTAAACCCTAAACCCTCAACCCTAAACCCTAAAACCTAAAACCCTGAACCCTAAGTAAGGCTGCAAGCTCTTGTACCTCAGGGACCTCCAGTTTCCCTGCCTTTTGTGTAACCCCAAGGTATAACTGCCCATGAATCTCCGAGTCTCCTCCGTCATCCTCTCAGTCCTCAGGCGGTTTAGGGTTTGGGGTTTAGGGTGTAGGGGTTTAGGGTTTAGGGTTTAGGGTTTCGGGTTTGGGGTTTGGGGTTTAGGGTTTAGGGCTTGGCTGTCGCCAGGTGAAGGCGCAGGAGCAGAGCGCACTGTCGGAGGAGTTTCCCCTGCAACAGCGCTTTTCATGGGTTCCCCTACTACCCCCCTCTTTAGGGTTTAGGGTTTAGGGTTTAGGGATAGGTTGAGGGCTACCCCCCCCTAGGTTCCCCTGTTAAATAACCCAAATTACGCTTAGATACCCCTAAGCTTCCTCAATTCTGGGGGGAACCTAGGTTAAGGCTTAGGGCTTAGCTGAAGTATGGGGGGAAGCTAGGGGGGGGAGGGGTATACGGGGCCTAAACCCTAAACCCT